ATCTATTATCAGCTCATAGTTACTGCTCAACCGCTCAGGTGTAAAGAGCTCACAGCCAATCAGATCACTTTCTTCCTGTAATAGTCTTTCTCTCTCTCTATTTTTTTTGCTCTATTTCTGTGTGTGTGTGTGTGTGTGTGTGTGTGTGTGCTGAAGGGGAAAAGGCTCGGAGTGTAATAAAGGCTTCCCTGCTCTAATGATTCCCTTCCAGAGGCGTTTCCAACAGGAGAGCAAACTGAGCAGAGACAGAAACTCATTCCTCTTCTTCTCTGTCTTCAGTCTTTTCACATGCAGACATGACATTTATCCCGAGGAGTGGGAGGTAATGAGATCTGCTGCGAGTCATGTAGAGGAAATTTATGTATTAATTTATAACAGAATATTTTTTTTTTCTCCATCAAAGGCACCGTTTCTCCAAATAATTACATGGTGGTGTGCCAGACAATTAGTAAACACAAACAGTCAGCTACATATTTGCACCCATTATGCTTTTATAGAGCGTCCTCAATACAGTCACAGGCTATCAATTCAACTCCTGCGCATTCTTTTTCAAATCTGGCAGTCGTGGGATACAGTAATTAAGGTTTTTGCATTATGACATTATTATCATGACAATTAAGGACAATTCCAACCCAAGGCTTCATTATTGCGATGAAAAAAATCTCATGCTCATTATTGTGATACAATGATAAAAATTAATGCAGTGTCTTGGTTTTTGCAGTTAAATAAATTTTATTTAAAGAAATTATTTTTTTGTAGTAGAAGTAGTGGTAGTATAATACATTTACTGCTACTACTACTACTAAAAATTATGTTTTAAAAGTTTATTTTATTTTTTATTCTGTTTTAATCAGTTTTTTTTTCAGAAGTTGAGTTAATGGGTTAAAATACAAAAATATAGTCAAGTAAAAAAAGGAATAGCAAAATGATATTTGAGTTACAAACTGCTAAATTTCATCAAAAGTTTATATATTTTTTGTTTCTCTTGATTTTTTTATGTACTTTAATAAAAATTTTATTCTGTTTTTTAATTATTTTATTTTTTTGTTTTGTTTTATTCTATGTTTTATTTGTTATTTTTATTGGAATTTATTTTATTTTATTATTTTTTTATTATTATTTTTTTTATTTTGTTTTGTTTTGTATCAAAAAAGTTGAGTAAATAGGTTTAAATACAAAAATATAATCAGGTAAAAAAAGGAAGAGCAAAATGATATTTGAGTTACAAACTGCCAAATTTCAACAGTAGTTTATATATTTTTTATGTTTCTCTTGATTTTTCTTTATTTAATTTTCTTGTATTTTGTCTTGTTTTGTTTTATTCTATGTTATTTTATTGTATTTTTTATTTTATTTTTTATATTTTAATTATTTTAATTATTGTTTTTTATTCTATTTTATTTTTATTCTGTTCTATACTATGCTTTTGCATCAAAAAAAGAAAAAGAAAAGCAAAATGATATTTGTTTATCTACAGTGTCACTAACTAAAATATTTCATTCTCATTACATGAAAATTAATATTTTTATTCACTTCTCATTTAATATATAATTTTTTATTTATTTACACGAAAACGTTATTTACATTAAAATAAAAGTTTGGTCACCCAAAATCTTTAGAAATAGAAAGATAATACATATAAATTCAAACGACTTACAAACTGCAAAATGTTAACAAAATTCTACATGTTTTATGTTTCTTTAGATTTTTCCTATTTGCTAAAATTTAGTTTAATATTATTTTTATTTTATTTAAATTTAAATTAAATTTTATTGGATTTGCTCAAATTGAATTTTATTAATTTAAAATTTATATTAAATACAATTCTAGCAAATAAAATAAAGTATTGACTAACTTTTAATACTGAATTTTTTACAAAAATATTTGATTTATATTATTTTGTTTAAAGTTTATTTTATTTGCTAAAATTGTATATAATTAATTTAAGAACAAAATATGTACTTAAATTTTAGCAAATAAGATAAAATATTGACTTTTAAACTGACTTTTAATACTGAAAAAATCTAAAATATTTAATTTAATTTAATATTTTATTATTTTATTTAAACTTTTTTGACAGTATTAAAATTCAGTTGCTCTGCTTATAATATTTCTGTAATACTTTGAGCCATAAAATGTCAATGGAAATCTTTTACAACAAGTGTCTTGACTGTAACTGTGCCACTATTTTTGTCTCTCACTTTTACACACACTCTGAGATCACACTCTGACTTTTTGAGATGCATTTGCTTAAAAGCTTTTGATGCATTTCATTCAGCTAAATGACAACATTCTTTTCTGCAGAGAGGGAAATTGAAGGTGTGACTGGCCTAAAGCAAGGTTTTCATTACTTCTGTTCATGCTACACTGCTTATTCCAGAATTCATTTCTCAATTAAACCTTTGCACTCATGAAAAGCATTCACAAAAGCTTTTTGAGCACATTTGAGTAGCCTTTTTTGAGTGATGATGGTCATAACCGTAGATAAATGTATTTAAAGGGAGAGACAAATTAGCCCAAGTCCAATTACACCCATAATGCGAATCATCCTCTGCTTGGCTGCATGGCGTGTGCCGCTTACATTGAGCAAACACTTCCTTCGGGCAGCGAACAGGAGGGTTTATCTATTTTTTAAATGAACTGGTGAACCTGACAGGGTGCTAATCTGACTCTTATTCCTGTCACCGCATTCCTTTCCCAATGGAAGTCTTTTGAGGCTTTGACAGATATCTGTTGTTATTGAAATGAGTGCTGCTGTGTTCAGACTGAGTTTTATTATTAGTGGGATTGATTATTCCCATGGTGGCACTTCATGACAACAGGGAAAGCCTTAAATATGTGGCATGCTTATGTTCTCATTCCGATTCCATTATTGTACATTTTAAGGACAGTTTATACTTCATGTTGTTTCAAACTTTCTCTCTGTCATAGTTGTAAGACATTTACATGGGCTTAATTGTGTTTTGTTAATTTGATTCATATGAATGTGAAATGGTCTGGTTGGGATGCAAGTATGACTTCTCTGTCTATAAAGTAAAACAGTATGAATTATATTGCAGTTTAAAAGGACTGTTTTTGCTTTTAAGTGAACTAATTTTAAGCAGCTTTTAGCTTTTATTTTATCTTTCAGTCTTCAATGTCACATAATCTTTTTAGAAATATAATTTATTCCATTGGCTTAACTGTACAGTAATAATTTAATTTAATTTAATTTTATTTTATTTTATAAATATAAATAAACATATTATACTACATATTATTATTATTATTATTATTATACATTTATTTAAAAATTTTAATTAATTTGCTGTTTTTTTTTATTTATTACAATGGATATTATTAAATAAATGAATGAATGAATAAATAAATAAATAAATAATACATTTATCATTATTTTTATTGTTATTGTTTTGTATAGTTTATTATTTTTAATTAATCATAATTGATACTAAAAAATAAATAATAATAGTAAAAATGATAAATATATTATTATTATTATTATTATTATTATTATTATTATTATTATATATTTATTTAGAAATTCAATTTAATTTACTATTTTTCAAATTATTTTAATGGATAGTATTATTATTATTAATAATAAATATAATTATAAGATATTTATAAAATATTATTATACATTTATTTAGATTGTTTTCAATTTATTAGTATGGATCATAATGATAATAATAATAATAATAATATTAATAATAATAAATATTATTATTATTATTATTATTAATAATAATAATAACAATATCAATAATAATAATATTAATTATATTAAATATTATTATTATTATTTTTTATTTATTATTATTATTATTATTTTTAACGGGTTTTTAACTGGTATTTAACTGGTGCTCCAGTTTCCCCCACAGTCCAAAGACGTGCTATAGGTAAATTGAATAAGCTAAATTGGCTTTAGTGTGTGTGTGTGAGAGCATGTATGGGTGTTTCCCAGTGTGGGGCTGCGGCTGGAAGGGCATCTAACATTAAACATGCTGGATAAGTTGATGGTTCATTCTACGGTGGTAATTAATGGACTAAGCTGGAAAGAAAATGTATGAATGAATAAAGTTCATTAATCTGGTTGAATGGCGACTGCAAAATTGCAGTTGAAATCAATGTGAAAAGTAAATTAATTATAGAATTGACATTTTTTGCACAAAATATAATTAATTTGTTGCATATTATTATTTATTGATAATATTCATTACATAAACAATTCCAAAAACAGTACTAAACTCTATTTAAAACTATGCAAATAATCTAATTCATGCTATAAATCAAAAATCAGGGATTTGTTTGTTGAACCAGTGAACTGATTATTTATATGAACAGCCTGCTCAAACTGATTGGCTAAAGAGTCTGACTACTGCCGGCTCTTGAGGCAGGGAAAGAACATTCTATCAGTCTATTTGATTGCCATCACAGTTTGCTTGGCCGTAAAGCTGCAGGCGGATTTCAGCCCGTGTTATATTGCATGGAGTGAAAAAAAGTCATACAAGTTCAAACTGGCACCGAGTAACCCTTAATGATCATCGAATATTCATTTTAGAGTGAACTATCTTTTTAATTGACACTCAGAGTTGTTTTTAGTCATCTTTGATCATTAGCAGTGGGGGTCTCTGTCTCTATCTCTCTCTCTCACGCTCCCCACAGAGGACTCTGGAGACCCCGGGCATCGTGACTGGCGAAATGTGGGTTTGTCTGAAGTGTAAATAGGTGCCCAAAGACTCACATTCTTAAAGACGACTTCACAATCCACTAAATGCAAACAGAGAAAGATCAGAGAGAATGTACACACAGGAAAATAGAGGAAAAACTGCACAGTATTACTCTTTGAAGTATCTTTTTTAGGAACAAAGACTGTTTATTTAATCTACATTTGTCTATAGTGTATGCTGCAATGTCTAGAATCCCACTGCGTCATGCAAAAGACAATGGATTTTCATTTATAACATTTGATGTCTCTTTAATTTTCCTCTGTTCCTCAGGACAAAGATCTGGACTGTAAGCTGGAGGAGCTAAAACACACAGGCAAGACTTTGTCAGAGCCTCAGGTCTGCGAATGGCTTTGTCAGCTTCTGTTGGGAGTACATTACATACATCAGAGGTGAGCCTAGAACAAAGCTACCATGTACATAATTTATAACTGAATATTTTCTATTGTTGGATTCAAATTAATTTGTTTTAAAAGGTTAGTTCGCCACAAAATTCTGTCATTTACTTAACCTCATATCTTTCTCATCCTCAAATCCTCATTGGTTCCTTTGGAGGCTCAAATATTGTGATTTAAAAATGAACCTCATAGATTCTTGCTTTAAAGTCTGTGTGAAATGAAAATTGACCATGTTTATGTGTAAAGAGCCAGGGACAACAGAAGTGAGTATCCACATGCAGTTATATTAAACGGAATAGTCAGGCATGCAATGGTCAAAACATAAGCAAACTTTAGAATACAGGTAATTCACAGTGTAGTCAGAAAAGCAAGCGAATGGTTGAGACAGGCGGCAAAACAATAAACAAAGCAAAGTTCAAAAACACGGTAGGCAGGACAAGGAAGTACTTTGTAATGCTCTCTTACAGAAAAACAAGACTCAGCCCAGAGTGTGTGTGAATGAGTTTTTTTTAGTCCTACTAATCAGTCCATAATGAGCTTTCAGCTGTGTTTATAATCAGGGGGGATCAGGAACTGATGTATGAGTGCAAAGAAAAGTTGTATACCACATAGTTTCCAATGTGTAGTTCTCCAGCGCTCTGCTCTGGTTAAATCACTGGTGATCTTGACAATATGGCTATTCCACCTTGTTATTCTTTATGTGAGCCATATTTGGTGTAAGTTAATTCATTTTTTTTTAAAAGTTTGTTCTTAAGTTGATCTTCTGTCAAGTCTGACCTTTTGCTTCTGGGTTTGGAGTGGTGGCCCTTCTCTGTTGTTGCCAGTTTTATGGATTCAGCCACAATATTCGTAACCATGCCCTTCTTACCATTGGTTTGCTGTAACGGAATTATTCAAGTAAAGAAAGCCCCGCCCCCTGCTCAATATTCAGTTTCAGTTGAAAGTACATCAACATACTGAAATAAAAGTCTCAGCGACTTTCAGTTCAGTGGACTTTAAGCTCAAATATGTTCCATAAACAGGCAACACGGAGTATATGCCTGAAGATATCCACAGAAAACTACAGATTTCTGCAAACTGATGAGCCCATTATTCCATTTATGTATTCATTTATATAATTGTGTACATTTATATTTATTCATTTTTTATATTTATTTCTATTATATTATGTGCAAATGTTTAGATGATTTGTGTGTAATACAATTTCTAATGTATTTTTGAGTTATAATATGAGGGACCTACTGTAGCGTACTATAGCGTAGTACATTTTTCACAGTTTATTTGTTACATTTTCAGTTCTTATAATCTCAAAATTATTTTTCATATATCTGACATTTATTTTGATCCTTGTTTTTAAAAACAAAATTCTATGAATAAATAACAAAATGTCCATAAGTTCTGTCTGGTTCTGTCCATATAACACAAGATGATCTTCATTGGTTCATGTAGAGACCCAAATATTTGCTTTGGCACCTAAATGAACTTCATCAATTCTTGCAGAAGCTCAATTGTGTGGTGAGAGCCAGAAAAGAATCTCATTGGGTCTTGTAGAAGCTGTGTGTGACCTACTGTACAAATAAACCTCATTGGTTCTCATGCAGCAAGTCTTTTTGAGTTGTAACCAATACAACCAGTTTTAAACACTGCAAAAATCTGATCAATGTTTTTTTTTTATGTGAATAAAGTCGGTTGATTGTGATCATTTTATAAAATACTTCAGTCTTTAACTTTATTCATTCCTATAGCATCAATGAAAACAACTTTTGCTGACCAATGTGCTATGTAAAAAAAAATACACCACAGAAGGAGACCTGAAAATAATCATGTCTTTTAGTAGGCTTGGTTTAAACAACCCATTGTAAATTGATTTATTTTTCTTTATATTTTATCATCTACAGCAATGTGGCCATAACGGATTCACCTAAACTAAATATCCCATCATGGCCTGCAGCCACACACCAGTTTCAGGTCACACACACAGACACAACTGAAGCTGATCAGGACTGATTTCATAGACTATATATACACACACAACTCACACACACATCCTTGTTTACTGTCTTGTTTACTGTAGTGTGCATTACAAAACATGTTCCTGCCTTGTCTTTATATTGTTTATGTTTGTTTTGTCACCTGCCTTGACCTATTCGCTTGTTACACCACAACTCTTTGGATTAAATGTATGCTACCATCTGCACCTGTATTGATCTTTGCCTGCCTGATTATCAATTAAAGCTGCATTTGGATCCAGCAGTAATGATCCATCACTACAATAATACTAAACAGACTTTCAAAGGAGTGACAAAAATCACAAAAACAGTATCTTCAGTTGCGTTTGAAGACAAATATTGAATATTTAAATTTTATATTTACAAATAATAAACATTTCTTATTAGTGTGGAATGACATGAGGGTGAATGAATGATGACAATTATCATTTTAGGGTGATCTAACCCCTTAAGTCTTCTATAACCCATCCTTACACAAAAGTTTTAATTTACAAGACAGATATACTAAATGTTTCTTGCTGCTTCTGTTTATTGATTCTAGTTTGTCTCACTTTAATAGGAGAATACTTCACAGAGATCTAAAGGCCAAAAATATATTTCTGAGGAAAAACATTGTTAAGATAGGTAAGCTTTGCTTTGCAGCCCAAAGGATGCTTGATGTTCTTTTGATGTTCTAGCAACGCTTTCAAAAGCGACTTTTAATGGCACCAAAAGCCCAAACACCTCCCAGTTAGGAAAAACAGCTCTTTTTATGACAGTCAAGACACTCGTCTACAAAGAAACAGGATCATTACACAGTAAAAAAATGAAAAGCATGATTGCCGGTCAGCCATGGCAGAAAGTTTTGATAAAAAGCAACTGTTCTTCAGAGGCTGATGTGCATCACTTTTGTAATTTCTGCCATAAATAAGTGCACTGATAGACATCAACATTTCTTGTCATACTTTTTTGTCACGATGTTGTCAGCGTAAATCACTTTTAGCTTGTTTCAGTGCAGTGTATTTGATTTGTGTGTTCTTGAAGAATGAAATTCTTTTATATAGCAGACCCACTTGAAAGCTAATCTGTGCATTTGTGTAATTTCAATTTGCGCCTTAGCCTGCCAAAATAACAGGGTTTACCACACAGTAATTCTCAGGTCACACTGAAAAAAAGAAACGTTGAAAAAACTCTCTGTACAGTATAAGTTTATACAGTACTTAATTGTCTAATTTTGTACTGTGATTAAAAAGCCTCCCGGTTCACTAAGATTTTGTAGTACTTCCAGCATGTATCTGCAATAACTAAAAGCTAACTTTTATTTGTATGTTTAGCAAATGTTAAATGTCTCATTTATTTAATACATTTATGTCACAGCAGCAAGAGATAATGTGCAGTACTCTAAATGTTTAGTTTGCCACACAGAAAGCGCTTTAAATTTATATTGTGCAATTACATTTTAAATGACTTAGAGTCTTTCATAGCATTTGACCTTCTTTTTTTTAAACAAACATTGAGATGCTTCTTTTTTTTTTAGGAAACACACAATCTCAAGACACCGTAACAGCTTTACAACTAACAAAATCAATAAAGGAATAAGCTGAACACTCACAAAACACACCATAATGACAAAACACTACAAAAGTAATTACAGCCATTAGAAGTGAAACAAAGATCTATAGCATGGCCTAATAATATATTATGTGCCCTGTTGAATCATTTTAAAGGGAGAGTTTTTAGAGGAATAATGTTATATTATTGTGCAAATTCAGGTCAGTAGGTGGTCTGTGTCTCATGAATTGCAAAAAGCAATCAAGAAGCTCACACACTCTCAGAAATAAAGGTATAAAATCCATCATTGTGTTGGTAACTTTTCAAATGGTACATTTTTGTTCCTAACAGGTCCTTAAAGGTACATATTGATACCTAAAAAGTACAGATATGTATGTCATACCCTAAGTTTACAAAAGTGAACTTTAAAGATACAAAAGTGTACATTAAAGATACTAATGACCACCTGTACACAAAAGGTGCTGCCCCAGTGACATATTTTGCACCTTTATTTCTGAGTGTGTGATAGTTAGTCAGTTACTGGAGTTATTAGCCATTATATTTTTATTTAAATAGATGGGTAAATTTTCCTTATTTGAAAAGATGATATTGTATGACACTCACGCTATAAAACTTATAAGAACTTTTTTTCTTAAATCTAAGTGTGTATGTAATATTTTTAGTCTGCAAAACTAATTTTCAGAATGTGTTTATGCAAATGAAACTTCTCTAAACATTCTTTGAAGGTGACTTTGGTGTGTCCTGTTTTCTAATGGGATCATGTGACCTGGCGACTACCTTCACTGGGACCCCATACTACATGAGCCCTGAAGCCCTGAGCCACAAAGGATACGACTCTAAATCGGACATATGGTAGGAAAAACTGAACCTTTTAGCCATTTAAGTTAAATTTAACCAACCAAGACTTTTTTTATTTTTGTTTTAACTTGATTAAGAAATCCCTACAAGATTACATAAAGGAATTTTAGACGCAATAAAATGCAAAAATATGTTTGTTTCCTGAACCTTTTTGTGAATAACTTCTAAAAGAACCATTTTGTTTATACCTGTAAAGAATATTTTAATAATCTAAAAAACCTTTGTCAACTATAGAGCTTAGCACTGGTGTAACAGTTTACATCTGTTGAACCCCTATTTTATCCTTAGGAAAGTTCATTTTAAACAATAACTGATAAACTGATACATTTTGAGCATCATAATGCTGGAGAAAATTCCACCAATCTGAGTGCTTCGGTGAGCAAGGTACTCTCAAAATATCTGAATATTTGTATTTTGTAGATATTTTGAAATTAACTTAAATATATGATTTTTGTAGATACAACAAACACTTTGAGTGAATACTTTTATGTTTGTTATTCATAAAGGTTTAGAATCATAATGTTTTTAGTTCACCCCCTTCCCCCATTCCTTCATTAAAGCTTTAAATACACTGTATTATACCTTATTGCTGGATTTTCAAATACTTTTTTGCTTCAAATTAATGTAATGCTGGGGTTCACGTCTAGTTGCTTGGGTCATGGTTTATAATGCTTTAACAAAGACCCTTAGGATAATCCCCAATCCTGTGGGAAAAATGAATGGGAAAATAGCTAATTATCTGTGCTTTTTTTTCCCTTAACAATGCAGTTTTGACCTTGTAGTCTATACAGTGTTCTGAAATGTGGCAAACAGTAATACGAAATGAGAGGTGCAACCAAATGTCTGACTTGATTTAAATCTTCAAGCAGTTTCCAGCTCTCAGCAAGTAACTTGCAAAATTATTCCCTCATTTAGTCGAACTCATAATCTGAAAGAACAATTCATCATTACATATTATGCAAATGTGCGAGTAATGTGGTATTATGTTTGATTGCTGTCAAATTGTTGTCTTGAAAAAATGTATGAGTTCTGACAATCCATGAAAGCTCATCAGATCAGTTTTAAGCCATTTTAACTTGAAAAAACTTACAGAAAGATGCAATCAGGCCCAGTTAAAGATGCAGCCGACAAAACGGCAAGCTTAATTAACATAAATTCTGATATCTCATGTTGCTTATTGAGCTGTAACCATCTACTTTGGAGATCTCCCCCCCCCCTTCTCTCTCTCTCTCTGGGTAAGGATGAAATATAAATTCATATCACGAGACATTTCCAAAGGCACCAAGGCGAGGATCCTCTGCTTTTCAGATCCTCTCTCGACAGCCCGGAGCACCACAGGGCTCTGTCCTCTCCTCCCCCTCCATTTACAGTATGTGCTGAAAGAGATTTCTAAAGAGAAACGAGGTCCACTGGGAAATAGTGAGATAACAGCATGTACGTAAAAATGACCAGAATGATGTCTCATGACTTTTTTAAAGGTAAAAGTATTACAATTTAAACCTCAGCATCTTTTACCAACTAACATTCACATCACAAATAAATAAGATGAATGCTGAACACCCAAACAGCACACTAAAATAAAGTAAAACCATTAACAGTGAAGAAATGATATTATTACTGTAAAAGAACCATTTTATGATGTAAAGAATGCTAACACCTCAGAAAATCACAAATCTAAAGCATTGCCCATACTGTAAAAAATAAATCCGTAAAATTTATGGTAAAAGGACTGGCAGCTGTGGTTGCCAGTATTTCACAGTTATACATACAGTACAAACCGTGAAAGTAATTTCTCATTTTTACAGTAAAATACTGTAGTTCATTAATTTATAGAAGTAATATGTCTGTATTTAGAACTACCAACATCTAACACAGCCATATGCAATGAGGATAAAGGTTACATAATGAATCAATGCTCATTACAAACAACTTTTCCCACAAGCAGAAAAGTGTATAAGTCTATAGAAGGTGCTCACACGGCTACTAAACACTAGCATTGTAACACGCATAAAATGAAAGTTATGAAATTAACATTGTTTATCAACATTAGATGTAACATAAATCTCTAACGTACATAACTGATGGAAAAACAACTAAAAAGATCTATATTAATGTCAACAAAAATCATAAAAATTGACGTGCCATGCAGGGAACTATGGGAAAATCAGTTTACAGTTATTTGTCGTATATATTAAGGAAACTGTTTACCAGGTTATTAGTTTTTTCTGTAGCATTTTTACAGTTTTTTTACCGTTGAAATCACTGCAATTTTTACAGTTCAGTGCCATATTTTTCAAGCTGAAACTTCTGTTAGAATTTTTGGAGGAATATCGTTGTGTTGTATTAGTGTCAGTTCCGGATTAACAAATTAGACCTTGGGGCTACAGAAAATCCAAGGAAAGAAAAATAAACCCCCTTTATTTTAGAGCCATGACAAAGTATCTTCAATCACAAAACCTGTTTTTTTAAATGTATTTTAATATATGAATAATAATAATGTGCACTATTTGATTTAAATGTCATATTTGATTGCTATATTTTATTTTATATTTTAATATGTTTTATTATTTATTTATATCATATTTATTTTATTTTGAATTAATTCAAGACATTGACTTCAAACAGGCGACTCAGTGGCGCAGTAGGTAGTGCTGTCGCCTCACAGCAAGAAGGTTGCTGGGTTGCTGGTTTGATCCTCGGCTCAGTTGGTGTTTCTGTGTGGAGTTTGCATGTTCTCCCTGGGTTCACGTGGATTTACTCCGGTTGTTCCAGTTTCCCCCACAGTCCAAAGACATGCAGTACAGGTGAATTGGGTAAGCTAAATTGTCCGTAGTGTGTGTGTGTGTGTGTGTGTGTGTGTGTGTGTGTGTGAATGTGTGTGTGTGAATGTGTGTGTGTAAGTACCCAAGAGATGGGTTGCGGCTGGAAGGGCATCCGCTGCATAAAAATGTGGCTGTGCTGGATAAGTTGGCGGTTCATTCCGCTGTGGCGACCCTGGATTAATAAAGGGACTAAGCCGACAAGAAAATGAATGAATGAATTAGTTAACTTCAAACAGGGTTCCAAAATGACCAAAAAACAATTTTCGCAGAGGAAGATGCACAAGCACTCCTGTATATTATTCATAGCCTAAGCTGAAGTAAAATGAATAAATAAATGAAATTGTTTTCTTTAAATCTACTTCTGGCCGTGACATGTTCACACCTAAATGGGTATAAAAGATTTATTTAAGGCATTATATGCAGCATCGTTCATTTATTGTCTTAGGTAAAACGAGATCTTAGGTAAAATGTGCTTAATGCATTATAAAGCTTGAAGCATTAGAATCGGTACTCGGTATCGGACGATTACCATGACAAGGAATTGGCAAAAATTCCTTGGAAAAATCCTGATCGGAGCATCCCTAGTACATACGTTTTTTTTTTTTAACTGAAATATTAAAAACTTTCAAGGATTTAAGACATTCATGATGGTTAAATGCGTCATAAGAGTCTTGTTTAAAGGCTCCATAGGGTCTATTTGTTTAAAATTCTTCTTTCAAACTTTAGCTGAGCAGAAATCCCTAATGATGTCTTTAAATCCATGCTTCTAATTTCCAAAAATGTTGGACTTGTGAGTCAATTGCAGCAAGCTAGCATAAAAGTTCTTTGCAGTTTGATCAGATATGCTGTCTGATGAAAGAACCAGCAGCAATATTTCACTGTTACTGTCATTTTTTATCTAAAGGAGGCAAAGTAACTTTCAGAAAAACGTTTTAGTTTTATATGCTTCAGTTAGACTTAAGCCATTGCCGGCTGTATTGACAATTGTGTGTAGGCTGTTTAATTTGGTTACACACTGTCTTTGTTACATTATACAGGAAGGACTGGTCAGTTGTGAGGCTGACACATTGCTTCAGTTGTGAATTGTTTAATTGGGATTCTAGTTGTTATAGCTTTATTATTGCAAGTTAATCAGTGAAGATACTGTTTCAATGATAATATTTGTTATACGACAAGGTTGGTTAGCCTACCTTTGATCAAGGAGTTCTTACTGTCATAGTAGAGCTGTAAAAAAAAACTGTCCTGAAAATAAATAGATATCTGGCCACCCTATTAGGGGCTAATTCAGGGCAGTTCAAAGTTTGTACTGGGCTTTAGCCACTCCTATCTCCATTGCAGTGCCTTCACTGTTTTGAATGAAATACTTTACGTTATTATTAATTAAAAGTTCACCGCAAATAGGCGTTTCCTATCAGGGGGCAGGTTAATTGTCCAGCCAATCAAGAGCCCCCTCCTTCTGTGGACCTTCTGTTAATCCGGCCCAAGCTCAAGCAGGAATGTTTATGCTCTTGATAGTCAGTTACTCCCATCATAAAAAATGTTGATGTGACATACCATACCAACGCAATCTCACAACAATTTAGAATCTTTTGATGTAGTGGCTAATTCGTTTGAATTTGTACAATTTATTATGATTTGCTCATCACTCAATGACGGTTAGGTTTAGGGGCGGGGTTGGGTGCCACGTCTATTTTTTAAAATCATATATTTTCTTATGACTGAATTCATACAAATTTGTATAAATTAGCCAATAAACTGACAAAATGTAAAATACTTTCTCATGAGATCAGGCTATATATACAGTAGTCAACATTTTAACTAGATCATCGACTTACTTTAAAGATTTCCTATAATTACTAAACAACACCCATTCTTGTCTCAGGATTTTTAATTATTTTTTTTTTTATCTATTTTAAATGTAAATGTGAGATTGCCAGTTGGATCGGTGCAGAGTGAGCAATAATGCAGTCGATGTACCAGTCTGTTGTGGTAAAGAAGGAGCTGAGCCAAAAGGCAAAGCTTTCGATTTACTGGTCGATCTTACTCTTACCTATGGTCATGGGCTTTGAGTCATGACTGAAAGGACAAGGTCTTGGATACTAGTGGCTGAAATGAGTTTCCTTCGCAAGGCGACAGGGCGCACTATTATAGGTAGGGTAAGGAGCTCTGTTA